ATTTATTGATAGTAACTGTTGAAGGCCTGGAAAATTAGGCATCACCGCCCTGCCTATTTCAAACGCGATTAGCGATAGAACGAAGCTTTTGTCTATGGGCTCCAGCGGGCCATGAGCTCACCCGTCAATGCAATCACAAAGCAAGTAAATAAAGTTAAAACTCAGCTGTGTAACTATTCGACAGTCAGCCAAATATTTACAGCCAATATTCTCTTAATGTATTGTCAATGGTACACCGCAACATACCTACTATATTTTTATATTTTCCAGAATTTCACTAAATTAAGCGGTTGTCTGGAAGATATCATTTTTAGCAATAAGATATTGTACAAATAAATATACCTGCTTTTTGACTGTTTTCGAATGTAAATTGTGTTTTGGTGTGCAATAAAGTGTATTCTCTCTCTCTTTCTCAAACTGTACAGTCGTGCCACGCTCGTTAATATGTTAAAAGAGGTCAAGTGTAAACAACACGAACACAAATGAGAGACGTTACGTAACAACGTGCAAATTTCAAGTTTTGCATTTAAAGAAAAATGTATATAGATTTTTTTTTTTTTTAAACTTTATACAAAAATCAGTGATGTTATTGCTACATTTAATTTTTAAAAAGTTTTACAATTGCTAATAAGCGTTGTTTGATTCACATTTAATTATCAATTTTATCATTCGATTGGAAAACGTTAGCTTCAAGTATTCAAAGTAAATAATACCTAAGCGCCCAAAATAATTACGCCAATAACTATCCCCGTGAGATTCTGGTCTAAACGAGGCAAAAGTGGTCGTAATAATTTGATATTTGTGAGCATTCCTTACGGCACGACACGCCTCAGAAGCCGGGATTACCCCCTTAGGCGATTTCTCACGATATTAAAATTTTTAGTTTTATAACGACTCTGTTGCTCGTTTTTTGTTCGTTCCTTAAGTTTCAAGTCGCTCAAAGAACTGAAATCGTAAGACTGCTATTTTGATCAACAATTAATACTCTTTTTTTCCCTGCCTATGCTGATAGCCTTGAGAGGCTATTTCAGCGCTAACCTGTAGATGAGCTCACGGGGCTCAAACCAGAAGTGTTGCTAACACTGGCCCTAGCAAGAGCAGTGTTTTACAGAATCTACCACCGGATCGGAAATGCAACCCACTGAGAAAATCCGGCGAGAAACTCAGTGGGTTAATTTACTCGTCGAGCCTTTCGTCGCAAGCGACTGGTTCGGCAAGAACGGTGACCGGTGCTTGAAGTACCTAAAAGCACCGTTGATGGATCGGGAGAATCCGTAATGACGTGTTTAGGGTGACGTCGAGTGTTTACCATTCGGTCCACAGGATCGGGTTGTAATTTCCGGCGGCCACGACAAGAGACTTTTCGATAAAGTCTAAAGAGTGGTCACAATAAAATTAATTCCCAAAAGACACAATAAACATATGCAACGTTCTCGGAACATTTCTTATACACTGCTCATTGAGAATACAAAAGGAAAACACGTCGTGAATAGCAAATAATCTCACTTGAATGCTATTTCCTGTCACGTAACATACTCACGGAGTTTATTATTTCGTTAAACATAATAATAAATTTTAATTACTTATTGTTGATTATGACCACATGTTGTAAATATGAGATAAGATAAAATCAACCTAATTCGTATGAGGTAAAATACCAAAGTCACTGAAAATGGTATTATACATATACAGTTAAACTAAAGTAAATGGAACTGGATAGATAATTGATCAGAAGTTAGATAAACAAAATGGTCAAAAGACATCACCGTATCATGGCGAAGGAAAATGATAAAAGAAACAAAAAAGGCAGATGAAAAGAAGAGATTAAGAAAACATTTAGACCACTGAAGAGCTATTAATTGAAGACATTAGGAAAACAGCTGAATCACTGGAGAAGTAGAGCTATAAACAAAAAAGTGCGGCAATCTCTAGGGAAGGCAAAGGGCGATCCGATAATCAGAAATACAGGCTTTTCGAATTTGAAATGCCGAGACGCTTCAGTGACCCACCGCTATTCAACAGCAAAGAGAAGCTCCAACTGAAATAAGCGCGTGAGAAATGAAGGAGATTCTCAGTTGCAAAATAGGCCAATCAATTTCTGTAATTTTTCTTCCGGACGGTATTATCACACAGTCACGAAAATACGAGGCGTTTTGCAGATAACGATAACTGATATTCCAAATTAAGACATGAACACAACGGAACCGACTTGAGAATATCATCAATTTAGTCTAAATCATTTTTTTATTGCCGTATAAGCAAACGAGTATACGACCCACCTGATGGTGTGTGGTTACCATCGCCCATAGACGTCGGCAATCCCAAGGGGAGAGCTCAGCCGCTGCCTACCGTAAATTAAATACTCATTTGCAAGGATAACTCTAAGAGCTCAGCTTTCCAATAAAAAGAGTCAACAAAATCAATTTACTTATAAAAAAGTTTTTTTTTTATGATTGAAGGATTACCGGTGGCCCAGAGGCCTTTCCAGTTTCACCAGGACAGGTGGGCGAGCAAAGACTCAGCCAGGAGGGGTGGGATTTGCTAACAGCTACCCGAGCGAGAGAGACCTAACAGCTCTCAAGAGCAGCTGCTTCGCGAATGAATCTACTACCGGATCGGAATCGCGACCCGCTGAGAAGATCCGGCGAGAAACTCAGCGAGCTGATTCATGGGTTAGGTTGCACGGCGAACTCTTTGTCGAGTTCGACGAGTACGGTTACCGGGGTCCCTAAGCCTGCTCCTAGTGTTAGAGCTGAAGGCGTCTAGTGCAAAGGTTATTGGATCTGATGGATCCGTAAGGATGTGTCTAGGGCGTCGACGGTGACTGGCTCCTGCGTGATCAGGATTCGGGGAGTAGTCAGCGGCGGCAACGATAAGGCGATTATCATGACGCGTAGCCTTATCGAAGTACCGTTCGGACGCTGACTTCATGTATTTCTGGATAGATTCGAGGCCCAGGTCGTCGTGTAGGTCAACGTTCCTCACGAACCACGGAGCTCCGACGGCTAATCTGCAAAAGCGGGATTGTAGAGATTGGAGGGTGTCTATGTGTGTGCGGGCCGCGTGAGCGAACACCACACTCGCGTAAGTCATGACAGGCCTTATGCAAGTTTTGTAAAGTGTCACCTTGTTCCGAAGGGACATTTTACTCCGCTTACAGATCATGGGGTAGAGTTTACCGAGAATAAACGCGGCACGGTCACGGACTGATTTTATATGCGGGCGGAATGTCATCGATGCATCCAGGGTAACGCCCAGGTACTTGACCTTCCTGGCCCAGGGTATGGGTTGTCTAAAGAGAGTAATCGGGGGTGTGAGATTCCTCCTCCTAATCCGGGAGGAAATCCGTGTGGAGCTTCCCCTCTGAAATAGCACCGCAGTACTTTTCGCTGGGTTGATGTCTATGCGCCATTTTCGGAACCACTGTCCTAGGGCTAGGGCTGCGCTCTGAAGCTTCTTCGCGATTAGGGACTTATTTCTACTGGAATAGTAAACAGTCGTGTCGTCGGCGAATAAAGCTAACTGGGTCGGCGGCGACCGGGGAATATCTTTGACGAATAAGCTAAATAGGAGGGGATAAAAAAGTTCTGTGGTACACAGACAACAAAAAATACAGTCGAATTGAGCCACTCCCCTGTTTTTTGTAAGTCTACTAAAAAGAAGCGAAAAGGCTTCCTGAAATAAACGTCAATCACGTTCCGGTGCGATTATCAATATATTAATACGTGAAGCAAAAATGTTGTAATCCTTTTTACGAAAATTGTGCGGACGGAGGAGTATGAAATTTCCCACACTATTTTTACTACTATTTTTTATATTGTGCATTAATAATAATACATGAAATCAATTAAAAAAACATTACACACACTACCATGTATTTGACACACACACACACGTATACATATACTCTTTGTTTACTGTCAAACTTTTGTTATTGCATAAAGTTTGTGGTCAAATTGAGAATAGGTTATTATTGTTTATCTTTAATATTATTTGTCTATAGTGTAGTCTTGGCGAAATCTGTGATAATAGAAGTATAGTCTTTGACAATAGAACCATAATAATGTTCAAACTTATAATTTCAATTAATTATTGTCGAATTTAGACTGCTACGGGACCACTAGTTACGATAGTTATATGAAACAATGTTCGCATTTACACATATTATACACTAGCGGCCTGCTTCGACTCCGCTGGGGTCTTTAACAAAAAATCAACGATATTTGACGTTGTTTTATTTTTTTAAATAAAAGAACACTTATTGCGGTATAACTATAATAGTTAGACATATACTGTTGTGATACTTTTTGTAAATAATAATGAGTTCTACAAAGTCGTAGTACATTATTTTATTCTATCATCAATAGTTTTCACAGGGTCCGCGATGTAAAGAATACTTTAGGTAATTTTTTTACATCCTGGATTACATTATTGGAGTTTTAGTAATGATCCCTAATTTTTTTAAAAAAAATGATACCTTATGTCACTCGGGAATAATGTAGCTTCCAAACAGTGAAATAATTTTTATAATCGGTTCAGTGGTTTCGGTGCCTATTCAATACAAACAAACAAATAAATCTTTCCTCTTTATAATATGATGATGATGATGATGATGATGAATGATGAATATGAATATAGATTTTTTTTATTGCTTAGATGGATAGACGAGCTCACAGCCCACCTGATGCTAATGGAGCCCATAGACATCTACAACGTAAATGCGTTACCCACCTTGAGATATAAGTTCTAAGGTCTCAGTATAGTTACAACGGCTACCCCACCCTTCGAACCGAAACGCATTACTGCTTCACGGCGGAAATAGGCGGGGTGGTGGTACCTACCCGTGCGGACTCCCAAGAGGTCCTACCACCATTGATTACGCAAATTATAATTTTGCGGATTTGATTTTTATTACACGATGTTATTCCTTATTATAATACAATATGAGTATAGATATGTATATAACTTTAAGAAGTGTTTAAATCTCACACGATTCGTACCTGATCGTTTTGTTGCGCGGTCGATTTTGCCGCCTCTCGTTTCAGCAGTGCTATTGTCCGCTCCTTCGATTTGATTTCCTCCAGCTGTGCACAAAAGTACGAACTATTGACTGTGGAAATTCTTTATAACGTTTTTTTTTTTATTGCTTAGATGGGTGAACGAGCTCATAACCCACCTGGTGTTAAGTGGTTACTGGAGCCCATAGACATCCACAACGTAAATGCGCCACCCACTTTGAGATATAAGTTCTAAGGTCTCAGTATAGTTACAACGGCTGCCCCACTTTTCAAACCGAAACGCATTACTGCTTCACGGCAGAAATAGGCAGAGCGGTGGTACCCACCCGCACGGACTCACATGAGGTCCTACCACCAGTAATTACGCAAATTATAATTTTGCGGGTTTCATTTTGATTACACGATGTTATTTCTTCACCGTGGAAGTCAATCGTGAACATTTGTTGAGTACGTATTTCATTAGAAAAATTGGTACCCGCCTGCAATTCGAAAATCGGTGCATCGCTCAACACGAATGCACCGGACGTCTTATCCGTTAGGCCACGACGAATTCAGCGTGCACTAGGGCTTATGCGAGTTGTAGATACAATTAAAAATACGACTTATTTACTAGCATAGTCGGTTATGAGATTGTTTTACTGTCCTTGTAACAGCTCACCTGATGGTTAATGGTTACCGTCGGCCATGGACGTCAGCAATGCCAGGGATAGAGCCGATGCCTAGCGTAATTTGTAATAATTTGGTGCAATTTATTCTTTAACGGCGTGTCTCAAAATACAACTTTTTTTTTTTTTTTTTTTTTTTTTTATGATTGAAAGTTTACTGGTGGCCCGAAGGCCTTTCCAGTTTCACCAGGACAGGTGGGCGAGCAAAGGCTCAGCCAAGAGGGGTGGGATTTGCTAACAACTGCCTGAGCGCCTCCGAAGGAGACCTAACAACTCAAGAGCAATTGTTTCGCGAATGAATCTACTACCGGATCGGAATCGCGACCCGCTGAGAAGATCCGGCGAGAAACTCAGCGGGCTGATGCATGGGTTAGGTTGCACGTCGACCTCTTTGTCGAGTTCGACGAGTACGGTTACCGGGGTCCCTAAGCCTGCCCCTAGTATTAGAGCTGAAGGCATCTAATGCAAAGGTTATTGGATCTGATGGATCCGTAAGGACGTGTCTAGGGCGTCGACGGTGACTGGCTCCTGCATGATCAGGATTCGGGGAGTAGTCAGCGGCGGCAACGATAAGGCGATTATCATGACGCATAGCCTTATCGAAGTATCGTTCCGACGCTGACTTCATGTATTTCCGAATTGATTCGAGGCCCAGGTCGTCGTGTAGGTCAACGTTCCTCACGAACCACGGAGCCCCGACAGCTAACCTGCAAAAGCGGGATTGTAGGGATTGGAGGGTGTCTATGTGTGTGCGGGCCGCGTGAGCGAACACCACACTCGCGTAAGTCATGACGGGCCTTATGCAAGTTTTGTAAAGTGTCACCTTGTTCCGAAGGGACATTTTACTCCGCTTACAGATCATGGGGTAGAGTCTACCGAGAATAAACGCGGCACGGTCACGGACTGATTTTATATGCGGGCGGAATGTCATCGATGCATCCAGGGTAACGCCCAGGTACTTGACCTTCCTGGCCCAGGGTATGGGTTGTCTAAAGAGAGTAATCGGGGGTGTGAGATTCCTCCTCCTAATCCGGGAGGAAATCCGTGTGGAGCTTCCCCTCTGAAATAGCACCGCAGTACTTTTCGCTGGGTTGATGTCTATGCGCCATTTTCGGAACCACTGTCCTAGGGCTAGGGCTGCGCTCTGAAGCTTCTTCGCGATTAGGGACTTATTTCTACTAGAATAGTAAACAGTCGTGTCGTCGGCGAATAAAGCTAAATGGGTCGGCGGCGACCGGGGAATATCGTTGACGAATAAGCTAAATAGGAGGGGTGAGAGGACAGAGCCTTGCGGGACTCCAGCTGTGAGAGGTCGTGGGGAGGAGCGGGTTCCCTCGACTCGATATCGAAAAGAGCGGTTCGACAAGAAGTCCCGTATGATGAGCACGAGACTATCCGGCACGCCCATGTTGAATAGTTTGAAAATCAAACCATTGTGCCAGACTTTGTCGAACGCTTTTGCGACGTCGAAGAAGAGAGCTCCCGTGTATAACGGTTTTGGTCGATTAAGCCCCACAAGAATGTGCTCCGTGAGGCGGTGCACCTGTTGAACGCATGAGTGATTTGTACGGAATCCGAATTGTTCATCGATGAGAATGCCCTTGGATGAGACGAAGTCTCTGAGGCGTTTGTAGAGCAGACGCTCATACAGTTTGCCTAGAGACATGAGGAGGCTAATCGGGCGGTAGCTCGTCGGATGATTTTTTGGTTTACCGGGTTTATGTATGCCGATAACGTCCGCTTCTTTCCACACCGCGGGAAAGATACAGTTCGCCATAGCGGCATTGAAAATAGATGCCAACATCACGATGAGTTGGACGGGTAGAAGTTTAATAACGCGGTTGGATATACCGTCGGAACCGGGAGCCTTGCGAGGACGTAGGTCTTTGATCAAGTCTTTAACTTCCATCGGGGTGACGGGTGGTAACGCATCCGAGGGTGGCAAGGAGGCTCTGCGTTCTACCTCACTGTCTACTAATTCTACATGAACAGGGTCCACGGATTGAGTGCTGGGCGTGCACTGGGTTTGCAATGTATCGGCCAGCAGCTCTGCTTTTTCGTCATCATCGAACGCCGCGAGTCGGCCTGAGGGGCCTACGAGGGGGGGCATAGTTACTACCGTATCCGATTTGAGAGTACGAGCTAAGCGGTAGTAAGACCTTTGGGAGGGCGCGAGTCCTTCTAAGAAATCAGACCATCTGGCATCTCGGACTTCGGCGATGCGAGACTTTACGTCGCGTTGTAGGGCACGCATTCGAATACGATTTTCCGCGGTAGGATACCTGTCGTAGGCGCGTATCGAGGCGTTCTTAGCTCTAAGGAGTTCCCTAATATCGTCGGACAATTTGAAGCGGTGAAGGAAGTCCTCCGCTACAACTTGTTTCGATGACCTATCTAATGTCGAGGTGATGTGTGACGTTAAGATGTCTATGGCTTCAGCGGTATCCTGAGGAGACGGGGTAGAGTCCGGGCTAAACGGTAGCGATGGTGGATCAGATTCAGCCAGGCTGATGCCCAGCGTGTGCCAATCCACCACAGTCCTCGTGACGGGAACGGAATCGGGAGCGCGACCGAGCTTCATAACGACGGGACGGTGGTCTGAATCTAACTCTGAAACTACTTCGATCGAGTGTAAGCGCAGAGTTACGTTTTTTAATAACGCTATGTCGAGTATATCCGGGCGATGCGCGATATTTAGCGGGTAGTGAGTCGGGGTTAGCGGAGCGACGATATCGAAGGCGAGATCATCGACTAACGCGTCAAGCCGCCTGCCATTCGGGGTTGTGGTGTGTGAGTTCCACCTGATGTGTTTACAATTTAGGTCGCCCGCCAGAATGACAGAGCTCCCCATACCGAGCAGCGCCTCGATATCACTGCTTAGAACGATCTTATCCGGTGGAAGATAAACGGACGCGATAACGATCGGCGCGTGTCCCGTCAGTGAGATTCGGCACACTGATGCTTCGATATTAGCGAGCGCGGGAGGATCGAGCGGGACGCAATGCAGGGCTCTTCTATAGTAAATGACGGTACCACCACCACGGGCAGAGAGCCTGTCGTTCCTGACCATGTTATAGTTCGCGATTTTAGGGTCACGGCGCGCGGGCTTAAGTAGGGTCTCCTGCACTAAAAAGATATCAATTTGATGGTCACGCAAAAAGTCAGAAACCTGATCACGTTGATTTGCGAGACCGTAAGCGTTAAAAAATCCTATCGTTACGGATAGGGGCTTTATTCTACTTATATACGCCATTGATTACCGGCGGAGTGAGGGGAGGACGTACGTATTTAATGACGCGTATACGTCGGCGTATTCTTGCACAACGGCGATAAAGTGTTGTGCAGTGGAGGCAGCGCGAATGGCGTCGCCCAAAGCGTTAACGCGCTCAAAGTTGATCGACTGAAAGAAGTCGATCGCTAAAGCGAGATTGTCGGACGCGGTCGGAGGGCAAGTCGCGGGAGAGGGACGAGTCGCGGGGGCGGGACGAATCGCGGAGGAGGGAGTTGTAGCCGTGTTCGTGTACGGCAGCGGTTTCGCCCAGGCCGAGACACTGGGCACCGCCGCCGGAACGAACGCTGGCTTAGCCTGCGACGCAGAGGGTGCCGAGGCTTTGATGTCTGGGCCGGAAGCTCGGAGGCGGTTTTGGCGGGCGACGCGGCGATTTATTTTAGGGGCTCGGGGGCAACCACGGTAATTCGCGGGGTGACCCTGTGTTCGACACAGGACGCAGCTAGGCGGTTCCGTCGCGGTTTTTTGGTCGCGAGCGCAGAGGGCCGTGGCGTGATCGCCCAAACACTTAACACATCGGGGGCGCGCGTGACAGTTACGGGAAGAGTGCCCGTACAATTGACAGTTATGGCACTGGCTAGGAGTGCCTTTTTTATGGGGGGCTTCGACAGCGATACCAGAGAGCCTACAGACGGTCTGTGTGTTAAAGATTTTCTTACCCTCGGGGGTAGGCTGGAGAGCGACTAGAACCATATTATATGGCTCCCTACCGCGACCGGTGTGCATACGGTGCACAGAATTCACTGGTAGGCCTTGTTCTAACAGGTCGGCTTTTACGAGCTCTACATCTAACTCTTTAGGGATTCCGCGTATTACAACGCGGAGTTCGCGCTCCTCCTGGAGCGTATACGTATGGAAACTTATACGCTCCTTACGGAGGTAAGAAGAGAGGGCCCTATGGTCGTCGGGTGTTTGAACCTTAATTTGAATGCCGTTCGCGAGGTTACGGGCATTCGTGAAATTTATATTTTTGGCCTTAAGGGCCAGGCAAACTCGATCCCAAGCTGCCTTCTCCTGAAGGATAACCGGGGGAGGGGTCTGGGTTTTAAAATACAACTATAAACTGCTCTTAAGTACTGTACACACCGTCTGACAGGAACGAATAGTGTGAAGAGCAAATTTGCTAATACCTTATTTAAGGCGTTTTAAAATTCTTTCTAGATTCATTCTGTTTCTATGATATAAGTTAAATTCAAATCATAAAAGATCGTTTGAATCTCTGATATGTTATGCAATACAGCCTGCAATGCAATTCTGCCTGATTTTACAGCGAATCAATTGAGACTTAACAATTATAATATCAAAACCGGCGACGGATATAGTTCCTGTTGGCTCCAATAGTTCATAGCTATCATATTTTATCAGCGTCAGTATTATAATTTACTGTAGGGATTACAATGAATTCTCGAGTTTTATATTCCGTACTGATTCCATGAAATGATTAGTGAATGTGTGTGCAGTGAACCAGTAATGCGTTTCGGTTTGAAGGGTGGGGCAGCCGTAATTAAAAGTGGGATCTTAAAACTCATGTCTGAAGGTAGGCGGCAGCATTTACGTTGTATATGTCTATGAGCCCCAGTAACCACTTAAAATCAGGTTTTTTTTTATTGCTTAGATGGGTGGACGAGCTCACAGCCCACCTGGTATTAAATGGTGAGATATAAGTTCTAAGGTCTCAGTATAGTTATAGTATAGAGGGCTATGAGCACGTCCACTTTTTTTTTCCCTTCCCATGCTGATAGCTTTGAGAGGCTATTTCAGCTTCACCCTAACGTGTGCAGGTGAGCTCACGGGGCTCAAACCGGAGTGTTGCTAACACTGACCCTAGCAAGAGCAGTGATCGCGTCGCAGAATCTACCACCGGATCGGAAACGCGACCCACTGAGAAGATCCGGCGAGAAACTCAGTGGGCTGTGTCTATAGGTTAAGCACGTCCACCCATCTAAGCAATAAATAAATATAAAACAGTGTACTGACCAGTTTATGGCATTGCGCACGTGCATCCCTTCGTGCGGCTTGCTCCAGAGCCGCGTGTCTCACCGCCTGGGCCCTGAGCTCAGCCGCACGTGCGCACTCCGCCGATTGTGCGACCTGCGTATTACATAAAAATAAATAATAGATTAAAAAAAACGCTTTTATAGAAAATCCAACTAAAAAATAGAAAATAAAATTTGAATAATAATTGCTTATTAAAAAAAAAAAAAAAACATGCCCGCTGAGTTTCTTGCCAATTCTTCTCAGGACGGAGGCTAGTTCTTGTGAATTGGCGGTAGTTCTTTTGACGTTCAACAAGTATGTACTTTCATTTATGTTGAATAAAAAATTTTTGATTTGATTTGATTTGATTTGAATTAAAAATAGTGTAAGAAAAAATTATTTTGTTGTAAAAAAGCGTAGGGTGCTTTTCAGGATATCAAAATAACCCTTCTACTCATATCTGTTCATAAAATATTTATAATTACCGATACCATGCATTTCATTAAAATTATTCATTTATACGTGATAGGATGATTGATCAAATAAGCCGTTTTGTACACCGAACAACACTAAACAGTTAAAAACATTTAACAGAATTTCGATTAGATCATAAGAGTTTTATAATAATATTATTCAAATTATTATTGAGAACAAACTAAAGCCTGCCTAAGCGGTTGTCACATGTATCTCCGGAATATCCTGCTGCTTTCAAACCAGGGTTGTCTTTGATAGCTCTTTACCACAATTACAATGCGCAAGGCGAGGTTTCATTGTGTACATGGGCCTCTCCGCCAATACCTATATTGAAATTGAGGGGGCCGAAACAGTTACGGTAGCTGAAGCCTGGCTAATTCCTCGCCGGCTAGGCAGTGGTGTATCCATACGAGGAGCAAAAAGAGCTCTCTTTGCCTCATATTGCGAAACCATTAGGTATCTCATATTATCTTCCAGAACCATAGAGTAATGCAGTCTCGACGGGTATGCAGAGACAAGTCAAATTCGGTTTGTGCGATAAGAGCTTGCTTCTGCCAATAAGATTTAATCTATGCTAACGGATATTGGGCTTTTGGGTTAAAAATTGAGTTGCAAAGACCACAATTTAAGTATCTGGCCATACAATTATATAGTAACCAAATTTGTAAAAAATTACCTTAAGTTTTTCTTGAAGACCCTTATAAGCTGCTTTTAAAGACTGAACCTCTGTTGTTAATCTTTTGACGTCTGTGAGTCTGCCACAAGCGGACTGTGCATCGTCCGTCTGTTTGTGGGGCCTAGCGATGGTTCTCAACTGTTTTTCTAAGAACTCTTCTCGCTTCCTGTGTTCAGTCTTTAGATTCCTGAGAGCGCTGTCATAACGGGCTTTAAGTGCTCTGACTTCGCTCCGCTCGATGTCGAGCGACTTCTTCAAGGTCGTGTTCTCCAGCCTTATCCTTTCGACGAGGCTCTTCATTTTGGTGAGGAGCGACTCGTCGACGATACGCTTGTGTTCTTCGACTGGCAAGGCGGAGATCTGGCTGCTGGCGGTCGATATGTCGGCGGACGCCATCGCGGTGGCGTCGCCTTCGGGAGTGTTCGGGGGGACGTCTCGATCGTCCGCGGTCTTTCACCTCGCACCACGCACGGGCGTTTCGTGGTCGTTTCTCGTGTGAGTAACTCGGCACAGGAGCTTGCGTTTCCGATTCTGTAATCGAAAAACACACGCTGTCACAAACTGGAACGATGCCAAATGAAAAAAAAAACAAACAATGATTGTGTTCGCATTTACGTTTGGATTTTAACTTTGATTGAATTCTTACAGAGTGAGCGTCCGGTTTGGAACTAATCCTGCTAATATTATAAAATATGTGGAAAATTGTAAGAATGTATAGATCTATGTTTGTTACTCTTTCACGCAAAAACTATTGGATAGATTTTAATGAAAATTTACAATAATATAGCTTACACATCAGAATAACACAGGCTATAATTTAGTTGTAAAGATATCGTGTGAATTACCAAAAATATAACGATAAATGTCAAGTATGTAGGAAAAAATCTGCCATCTGCGAGCTATTCTGTCGTGCGCAGAATACCTTAAATAGTCTTACAAAAAAGCTCGCGACAGCATATGTGTTATCAATTATCGCGAAAATAGTGAAAATGTATATCTATATATATAAAAATGAATTGCTGTTCGTTAGTCTCGCTAAAACTCGAGAACGGCTTGAACGATTTGGCTAATTTTGGTCTTGAATTATTTGTGAAAGTCCAGAGAAGGTTTAAATAAATATGAAAATACCCGGAATTAAATAAAAATAACAATTTTGTTTTTCCTTTCATGTGTCCTCCGTCGGACTGATTCCTTTTGTTTCTTTTAATTTTATTTTATACAAAGTTTAGGTATTTTATTTATCGATTGAGGCACTACGAAGTCTGCCGGGTCAGCTAGTAGTGAATAAATACAAGAAAAAATTATAATTTATTTCTAACGCACATTTGGTGGAAACGAAAACCAAAAATGAATACTTTTATCGGATCTGGTACATACTTAAAGTAGTTAAACTTTGTCTTTTACACATGCATCCACCACCCACCATCATTTCGACAAATATTTGAATAGTTATGACCATAAACAACGGAGTACGCGATATTAGGAAAGTTGAATAGAGAAAATCCAACAAGATTAATAAAATTAATTACATTTCCCGAAGCGAAGCACCTTGTTTGCACGGGTCGCTAGTACTTCTATGATAAAATATGAACATGCTGTTGGACACGCGTTTATTTTTAAAAGAAGAAGAAAAAAAATTAGAGACAACATTAATTTTTTAAAGCGCTCTAAGAATACACAGAAATAGATTTTTACAGATAGAAATGACGACTATGGCCTCATTATTAAACGCGGTGCAAGTCATTTTTTATGTTAATTCTTCGGCTATACCCAGAGTTTACTTCGACGATGTAGGAATTAATTTTGAATTAAAGAGAATGCAACGGTTTCATTTAATAGGTTTAATAGGTTAGATTTAGTAGATAGTTTAGTAGTTATTTATTTAAGTTTAGTTAGTTTAGCTAGGGCCCAAACTACAAAAAGGCACTGTCTGTACGTATATCCAACATGTTGATTCGACAATACCTTTAATTACAACCAGTTTACAAGTTCAAAACTGTCAAGGCAAGTTTCTGCAACGAATTACATAATAAAGTTAATTATTATTCCTACATGGGAATGAGGACTATTATTAGCCCTTCACTATTCATTTCCATTATTATTATGTCATTTTTATTTATTTATTGCTAAGAATGGTGGATGCACTCACGACCCATTTGGTCTTAAGTAGTTACCGGAACCTATTTTTTTTTATTGCTTAGATATAGTATGTATGTATGTATGTATGTAAATGACTTGAGAAACTCTAAAAATATTATTTTTGGTTTTGTATCGCGACCGAAAGAACAAGCCAGAAATTTGCCTGGAAAATGTATGATAGAATGAAAAAAACCCGCCACAGGGACTTTATTTTTGTCTAAGAATATTTTTAAGCTAGTTATTAACGGAAGTATCAAACATATGAAATGGACAATTGATTTCATTGAAAATGTCCAGATATCCTCAAGTATAAAAATAAGTTATTATTTCTTCCTATTATTTTCAACCAATCGATTTATATTATTTTAACAATGTAACTACATATAGTTTTCTATCGGCATATACAGTTAATATTAATAACGCACAGATTAATACATACTGGTTCGCCGAATGATGCAAATTCGACCAAAATCACTGATGCCTTACGATTTAAAATACATTTTCACTTTTCTCTTTTGTTTGATTGTTGAAGTAAAAAAACTGATTATTCGAAAAAAAGATAATTTCAACAAAATTCCTTTTAATACTGTATAAACTATTATATGTATGTATGTATGTGATTGTGTATATATTTATACATATACTTTTTTGTGTATGTATTCATAACTTAATATAAATTTCATTGCACCTACCACTATTTACTCTGCACTACCTTTGGTTGACTGGTAGAGAATGCCTTAGGCATTAAGTCCGCCAATGTAAATTTTACATGAAGTGTAATAAATAAAAAGATATGACTACAAAAAGCTCGTCAAAAGCTAAAAAAATAAACACTCAGCGCACAAATTGAGGATACTTGAATGATCTGTCTTTAAATTGCCTATTTATCTATGTATGTAGGCCTTGTGAACAAAATTTCCGTATAAAGTATGTATTGCTAAATTTTCTGTAGTTACATAAGGCGCCGTGGCTTAGTTGGTTAAAGCGCCTGTCTAGTAAACAGGAGATCGGGGGTTCGAATCCCCCCGGGGCCTTGTGGATCAGGTTGTACTTTTTATAGTTTCTTTGAAATAAAAAAAAAGTCATGATTTACTATATTATAATTTACTACTTTTATTCTAAAATATCGTACAAGCTGATCGTCTACGTAGCAGACACGAGAGTTAAAAAAAACCCATTTCAAAAGGCAATTCAAACAGTAGTCTTAACATTTGATTATTTGAATGTATCATAACGGCAATCAACGAATTTTGAATCTCCGGACCTTCTGATACATTTCTGTGGTTTAACAAAATAAAAACTACACTATCTTTTTTGTAGCATAATATTATTAACCGACTGAAAAAAGAGGCTCTATGTTGTGCTGTATTTTTTTATATTCAACGGTTTCGCCGTCGTTCCAAAACCGCATTGGTGTTCTCGTTTAGGGAGTATGCGACAAAGGGAAGATGTTTTACCGAGCGGGTGAAGTTATTCAAAAACCGATGGGCACAATTATTTTTTAAGCAGCAAGCTTTCTTGGCACTGATTGCCAGGATGGACTTCTTTTCAGTTACACCAGGATAGCCGAGGACGAGATCATCCAGGAAGAGTTTGATTTGCTAACAGCTACCCGAGCGAGCGCTTTCGAAGGAGATCTAACAACTCAAAGGCAGCTGCTTCACGTATGCACTATCAGATCAGAATCGGGACCCACTGAGAAGATCCGGCGAGAAACATTGCATGAACTAGATCACATTGAAACTTTTTTTTTTTTTTTTATGATTGAANGTGCAGCCGGACCGCCATCGAGTGATAATTCTGCTGGAGGACGCGCGTGTTCCATATTTATGTTGGTTACTTCGATTTAACGTGTATTAAGGTTAAAAACGACGCACCGCTGCCACCATGTAGTGAAACACACGCCAGTTGGTTTCATACTGATTTATTTTTAAAGACACCCTCACTACGTTATTATAAATATACTACATTGCATAGCTTCTATCACGGGCCTTGAGCGCGGCGAATGAATCAATAAATTCCGTAACGAAAATAACCTGACACCCCCACTACGCCTACTATGTAGCTCGCGTTCAACACATTCACACGTTGCGCTTGTGTTTGTGAATAAGCGCGCGGCGTGACGTCGCACTGCATGAGCATTATGAAAAGTCTGCCCATCTCTCTCTGTCACGCGGTCTAGCTTATGAGTGTGAAGGGGACAGTTAATGTTTTGCTTTTGTTAATGTTTATAAATATAGCGTGGTCTTATTTTTATTATTTTTTTATTATTAAATTATTATTGTCTAATTGTAATTTCATAAGTTGATAAAAAATGCTTTGCAATAGCTTTACCGCGGCAGTCCCCGAGTGCCACACGTCTTTTTTTTCTTTTTTTTTGCTTAAATGCGTGGACGAGCTCACAGCCCGCCTGGTGTTAAGTGGTTACCGGAGCCCATAGACATCTATAGCGTAAACGCGCCACCCACTTTGAAATATAAGTTCTAAGGTCTCAAGTATAGCTACAGCGGCTGCCCCAAAATATTTTTACGCACGATTACTTTTTAAAAATTTATTATTAAATTTTTCGATGTCTCCAAATGTACATTTTAAAAGCAATTTCCTCACTTACTAGACATTTTCTGGAAATAATAACAGCGAAATCAAATCTTGACAGTAGATTTCAATACAACATAATTTAAATTATAAATGTATTTTATGTCTCATAAAATATATGAAAATACTATTTGAAGTTACGACAAAATGCCGATCTAAGTGAATAAAAGCCGATAAGATACATGAGCTTTCGGCTAATCATCCATGAAGCTCCAAGGAGCAAGTTAATCGTGTAGAATTTTAGTGTCTCATTTAGTATCTGCCTTCTTTACGAGCTATATCCTGTTTAATACGGCTATAAGCTTTTGTTGTAGACATATTCGAGAAGAGCTTTTTAATTACCTACTTTCTTGTATGTAATGAGCCGGATAATGATTCGGTTAATAAAAGAGCGGACAATTATGTTTGCATAATCGTTCTTTTGTGAATATTTCTTTTTTCCTTTTTTTTAATGAGTTTCCTTGCATCTTGAGTCGAAATAAATCAGTTTTTATACAGTTTTTAATATACACATCGGTCCATTAAATACTATTTTGTCATCTTCGATTTTATTTAAATGTAGTGTTAGCATAATAATATACTAGTGATCCCCCAGCAGTCGAAATATAATTAATTGAAATTATAAGTTTGTACACTGTTATGATATAAAGACAAACAATATTAATCTATTGTTAATTGGACCAGAGATTTTAAACAATAAGAAAAGTTTGATAATTAACAAATAGTATGCATGCGTGTGTATGTTAAATACATGGTAGTGTGTGTAATATTTTTTTTTTATTGATTTAATGTA